GGCAAATCTCAGCTCACTGCAACCTCCACCTCCTGGGTTCAAGTGACTCTGTGCCTCAGCCTTGCAAGTTGCTGAGATACAGGCATGGGCCACCATGCCCGGCCCAAATCGGGTACTTCTGCTTCTGTATCATTACAGCATCTCCATGGGGTAGGTAGCTTTGTGCCTTCCATGGTACAGATGGGGAAACTGAGGCTCAGAGAGGTGACTTTCCCAGACTTGGCAGAACTGGGATCTGAACCTCAGCCATCCCGAGTCATGACTCAGACTTTCCCGGGGCCCAAGGCTGAAGGAGGGGACAGTCCCCTTCACCGGGACACCCCTGCCAGGAAGGATACTGAAGGTGGAACAGGAGGCCGTCTCCAGGTCATAGAGGCAGCTGCAGAGCTCTCGGGGGTCGGAGGTCAGGCCAGACAGCTGCAGGGAAGCAGAGGCCTCAGCGCGGTGCTCCCCAGTCCCCAGGGGACCCCAGGACTGCCCGCACCTGCCGCAGCCTCACCCAGGCCGTGTCGTCATTCACCACCACCAGCGCAAACTCGTGGCTTTTGTCGATCTTGTGTTTTGTCCGCACGAACATCTCAATCATCTTCTGGGAGACGTTGAGGGCGTTGGTTTTGGAGCTGGGGAGGCAGAGAGTGGAGGGGAATGAAGGTTCCCTCAGCTACCCTCATCTCGAACGCAGCACCAGCCCCACGATAAGGCCTTGGAGGTACAGGTTACACTGCACGGGGGTGGCAGGGCTGAGCCAGAACCTGGGTCTGGCTGACATCTGAGTGCCTGCCTTCTCCAAATGGGTCCCTCTGCACAGCATGGGGCTCGAGGTCCCTCTAGAGTCACTGCAGGAACTTTGCTCAGCCATGGGCAGTTGCGAGTGCCACACTAGGGAAGGACCTGTCATCTTCAATATCTCTGTTTTTTTTTGGGGGGGATGGAATCTTGCTCTGTCAACCAGGCTGTAATGCAGTGGCACAATCTCGGCTCACGACATCCTCTGCTGCCCGGGTTCAAGTGATTCCCCTGCCTCAGCCTCCTGAGTAGCTGGGACTACAGGTGCATGCCACCACACCTGGCTAATTTTTTTGTATTTTAGTAGAGACGGGGTTTCATCATGTTGGCCAGGATGGTCTTGATCTCCTGACCTCGTGATCCACCCGCATAGGCCTCCCAAAGTGCTGGGATTACAAGCGTGACCCACTGCACCCAGCCCAAAGTTTAGCTCTTCTTGCCCGGGCTGGAATGCAATGGCAGGGGCTGAGACAGGAGAATCCCTTAAACCTGGGAGGTGGAGGTTGCAGTGAGCCAAGATAGCGCCACTGCACTCCAGCCTGGGTGACAGAGCAAGACTCCGTCTCAAAAAAATACAAAACCAAAAAAACTTTTAGAGAGGGTCGGGCACAGTGGGCTCACGCCTGTAATCCAGCACTTGGGAGGCTGAGGTGGGCGGATCATGACGTCAGGAGTTCGAGATCAGCCTTACCAACATGGTGAAACCCCATCTCTTCTAAAAATACAAAAATTAGCCAGGCATGGTGGCATGTGCCTGCAGTCCCAGCTATTCAGGAGGCTGAGGGAGGAGAATCGCTTGAACCCAACAGACAGAGGTTGCAGTGAGCTGAGATCAAGCCACTGCACTCCAGCCTGGACGACAGAGCGAGACTCTGTCTCAAAAAAAAAAAATACTTTTAGAGGCCTGGTGCAGTGGCTCATGCCTGCAATCCCAGCACTTTGGGAGGCCAAGGCAGGCAGATGACTTCAGATCAGGAGTTTTGAGACCACCATGGCCAACATGGCAAAACCCATGTCTCTACTAAAAATACAAAAATTAGTCGGGTGTAGTGGTGCACGCTTGTAATCCCAGCTACTCCAGAGGCTGAGGCACAAGAATCACTTGAACCCGGGAGGCAGGGGTTGCAGTGAGCTGAGCTCAGGCCACTGCACTCTAGCCTGGGCAAGACAGTGACACACTGTCTCAAATTTTAGAGATAGGGTCCGTGTTGCCCAGTCTACTCTTGAACCCCTAGCCTCAAGTGATCCTCTGACCTCAGCCTCCCGTCACTGGGATTACAGGCATGAGCCACTGCGCCTGGCTCTTGTTACTCTCTGATACTGCCAAGCCTGAAGCCAGACCAAGCTGGTGTGAGTTTCAGAGTGAGAGTCCTGTATCTTTTGGGCCGGCCCCTCCCAGCCATGACTGCATGTCCAAGCCCTAAAACGTCCCTCTTACCCGTTGAACGATTCCAGCTTTGGCAGTGACATTTCCTCTGACAGGTCCAGGCAGATAATCTGCAAGGCAGTTGGAGGGTAGTGAGTGTCCTCTGATCTTAACGCTGGCCCCCACACCACTCACTGGCCCTCTTCAAGCAGCCCTGTCTGAAAAGGCAGTGTGATGACCCCCCAATCCCCAGCCAAGCCATGCACTTTGGAAAGCAATGGCTTAGAAGAAAGGGCACTGAACTGGGAGTCCCAGTAGGTGAACAAATTAATAATCCAGAGAATGTGTGACACAGGAACACAGAAAGAAAGATACAGTGGGTCAAATTGTGGCTCCTAAAAGACACGTCCACCTAGATCCTCAGAATGTGACCTTATTTGGCTGGGCACAGTGGCTCACACCTGTAATCCCAGCACTTAGGGAGGCCAAGGTAGGCAGAGCAGTTGAGGTCAGGAGTTTGAGACCAGCCTGGCCAACATGGCAAAACCCTGTCTCTACTAAAAATATTTAAAACGGAGGCCGGGCGCGGTGGCTCACACCTGTAATCCCAGCACTTTGGGAGGCCGAGGCGGGTGGATCACCAGGTCAAG